TAGTCAAATAGAGGATGAACATCTCATTTTAAAATATAAAAAATTTAAAATATAATTAGAATAATTATCGAGTTCCAACAAAATAAATAATTATTATTTTTATAAAAAAATTATATTTTTAAATCAAATATAAATTACTTTGTTATTGTACATAAATTAAATTACAAAAAAATGAGGAATATCAAATAGTTAATTTGATACTAATAGCTGTATATTTTTATCAAATTTTTATGATATCTTCAAACATACATTTTATTCAAAAATAAAAGCATCATCGCTTTCTCAAAATCACATAAAGCCATATTATAACATCGACTGAGATAAAAAATAAAATAAAATATTAAAATCACGATTTATTTCACTGCATTGCACGAATACGCTTCTAGTAACTAAAACGAATACAAAAATATTTTTTTTAAAAACCCACACACCTTGAGCCCGACTCGTCTGCAACACGTCATCACACACCCTATCGCAAGTCATGCTATGAGGTTAACTTGGCATAACGCGTCTTATCACCATCACAATGTGTTACTATTTTAGAACATTGATAATTATTGATCAATAAATTTTAATAATTACTAATAAATTCATTAATAAATTTTATTGATTTTTTAAAATAATATTAAAAGAATTATTATATTATTAAATATAACAAAAATAAAACAAAAATCCGTTGTAGTCTAGTTGGTTAGGATACTCGGCTCTCACCCGAGAGACCCGGGTTCAAGTCCCGGCAACGGAATTCCCTTTTTAGTCCCTATGGTTTGTTAAAATTTTCTATTTTAGTCCCTGTATTTAAAATTGTTGTTATTGTTTCTATGGTTTACAATTTATTATCTTTTTAATTCTACAATTTATTAGTAATTAAATTTATTTATTATTAATAGTAATAAATATTAAAGAGAATTATAATTGAAAAAGTTACAATAAGCTTTCAAAACGCTACTTCAAGTAACGTTTCAATAGCTTACGGTCATCCAAACATGTACATAAAAAATAAGTCGGCTTATATTTACCAAATAATACCTTTACGTCTATTCAATTGTTTTAATTTTGGCTTATTGATGATACCAAATTCAAATTCTTAAAGGAAATGAAAAACCTAGTTCCCTACTATTCATTCTTGATTCAGAAACTGCTATATGGGATGAAATGATTCATAAATTAAATCGGTGTTGTTTTTAGGTTTTATTCTTGTAATTTTAGGGTAAATTGTATGAAAAAGTAACGTACTTTAATTTGATTTCTATTTTGGGTAACGTACTCATAAAACTCTCATTTTGGTAGATAAGATGTAAAATTTTAAATATTTAAGTACCCGGATAACCGGTTAAAGCGTTATAATAATAATAATAAGTAATACTTAATATTAATAAGAGTTATAATTTTACATGAAGATTTTGTGTTATTTATGTATATCTTAATTAGAAAAAAGAAGGAATTACTTGGTTATCCCCCTAATTGATTATCTATACTATATTATAAGCATTTAACAAAAACTTTTAAAAACCGTTTTTTATGCATGAAATACTGTTTATTGATGCATATTACTTAAAATTCAATATTACAAGTAAACTGTGCGTAAGTACAACTTATTAAAGCTTCATGATTGAATTTGTGTAACTAACTTCAGATAAACATAATCAATTAGAAGATAAACATTTCATTTTAAATATAAAAAAAACTAAAATATAATTAGAATAATCATTGAATTCTAACAAAATACTTAATTATTATCTTTATAAAAAATTATATTATTAAACCAAAAATAAAAAAAATTAATTAAAGAAATACACAGAAAAACGAGAAAGTTTAAATAGTTAGTTTGATTCTAATATCAATATTGTTTTTATGATATCTTCATATTTACATTTTATTCAAAAATAAAAACATTATCTCTTTCTCAAAACCACATAAAACCATATTAAAACCAAAGTTATAATAGAAATAGTGTCTAGGGTCGGTAGGATATACGCAGACTTTACCTCTACGCCTTGTTCATGTGACGACCCCCAACTTGCAAAACGAAAAATAAAATCTGTGAAGTTACCTGAATAACACTAAATCACGTTCACGGTGCAAATCTTTTATCGCATGTTATATCTGTAAGTTGCCAATACTATGTGCAGTGTCACATATAGGCTCTGAAATCGAGTAGAAACCAAACCTATACATGTTGTAGTAGATTATAAAGGATCTTGGGGTGACTTTGGTTGTAGGAATGGACTACAAATAGAAGCTGCCAATGCTAACCACAATGACGTCTACTCCTAACCATAAGGGTGGTGCCTAACTGGTTTGAGCTTGGGCTCCAAAGGTCAAAAGTGCCTGGAGGTCCCAAGTTCGAATCCAAGGAGGAATAAAAATCCCCTTGTGGCTACGGAGATTCAAATGCGGTGACTCCGGGCTACACGCAAAGCAGGTGGTTGCCTGGGATTAGTCGGCTCGCATAACGGGTTGGATATCCAGGTTAATCAAAATGAATATGACGTCTACTCCGGAACACAGATTGGAATACATTCTTGAGAATCTTGAATACCTTACGATCTTTAAGTTGTAGTAATGTTTTAATCAAAGCCAGTAAATACAAGGGTAAGGACCAAATATGTGCACCGTGTACAGATCCCATATTTGCTCTAGAACCGACTAGCACTAGGACCAGGTGACATTCTTAAGCATCATGGGTAAGAACCCACTATGGGCCAAGATCCCAAGTGATCTCTAAATAGCGCTAGAACTAGGACACTCTACGTGCTTGAATACTTTGTTGAAAACCTAGAATGGCTACAGTCTTTAAGTTGTTGAAATGCAGTGCAGTCTGCAGATATAAGCCGATACGCACAAGGGTAAGATCCAACAACGTGCACAAAACTCATGTTTGCTATTAGTAGTTAGTAATTCGTCCCACAGATTCTTGAGGATCTTGGATGCCTATAGCCTTCAAGATGCAGAGATGACCTACAAATAAAAGCAGCTAAGCACAAGGATAAAGACCCGCTACAAGCTGAGATCCCATATTGGTTCTGGAAATGAGTAGGACTAGGACTTTACACTCCTATACATGCTGCAACACCTTATTGACAATCTTGGATTTCTACGGGCTTTATACGTTTATATGCTTGTATAAAACCCAAAAACATATCAAAATTTCCAACTTTGTGATATATTCCCGGATCTGTTTGGTTACCAAGAGGTTCTGATTGTATTACACCTACCTTATGCGGTGAGGACTACATAGGTTATGTTCGGCAAACTAGCTGATAAGCCTACTGTTAACTGAAAAGCTAGTTGATTAGGTTAAATGAAAAACTAGTCATGTTGGTAAAAACTAGCTATCGGGCTGATAAGCTTGAAATACAGTTTAAGTTTCTTGAAGAAGGAAGTAGGGAGGGAAGAATGGCCTTTTTAGGGCGCAAGTCCTTTGAGGTCAGTAATGGTGGTTAAGTCGGTGCTTTTGGGAGTATAAATAGGAGAATATGCATTCTGGAAGATTCTGTCAACTAGAAGAGGACCAGTCTCTTGGATATTGGCGTAGTAGTAGCAGTAGATATGTTTTTGTTGGTTGAGGTTGTAATCAGAGTTGAGGAAAGTCTGAAATAAAACCTGATTCATATCCAGTTGTTCATCAATGGCTAGATGCCAATGTAAAATAACCTAAACGGACACACCGAAAATTAATTAAAAAAAATACAAGGGGCATAATTAGAACAAAAAAACCCTTGAAGCTAATTGAAACATTACTCGAAGAGTTGAAGTGGCTTTCAACAAGCGGGGTTCTTTCATTAAGATAGCTTATGGTTGCCAAACAAGACCTTAAACTTAAAACACAGATGTAGCATATGAACATAGCTCAAGCAACTACCATTAATGCAAGCAAGAGAAAAACCATTTTCATGTTCAAGTCACAGATTGTTTCTTCTTGATGACACAGAAATTCATGCAACAGTCCCAAAAGCTCAATCACCTAATTCTATTTTCCAACTTTTAGATCAAAACAACCAGTGGATTATTCATTTGAAAGATGTACTTATTCAAATTGCATATCCATATTTCATCAACAAGAACATCTCTAGACATTTTCAAATTTACATTTCACTCTTCCAGCAAATCTAACCTACACAATTTCTAAATCAAAACCACCGGTGAGTAAATTATATATAATCAAACATCATATCAATGACAGTCATCAACAAGAACATCCGTACAGTTGATTTTTCAAACAAATCAAATGTACATATGTTGATATAGTGTGCAGATCAAAATGATCAGTGGATTATTCATTTGAACGATAAACTGTATCAAATTTCAAAACCAATAGTTGATTACAGAACATCAACAAGACCAGAATTCTTGAAAAATTACAGTCATACTGAAATTAGGGCTTACATTATGGAAATCAGATGAGTTTAAAAGGAAGAGGCCAAGGGGTTGACCTGGGGACCTCGACCTTATCCTTAATGCGTTGAATCTTCTTCTCCTTCTTTGGCCTCGAGTTTCCATAAGATCCTTTGAAAATCTTCCCCCTCTTCGTCCTCTTATCCCCTCTCCCGCACAGCGCTGGAACAGGCGGCGTTGAGGATGGAGATAGTGATGTAAATGCGTACCGTTGCTCAGCCGTGACAAGTAACCGCTTCGCCGTCGTGCTCCATCGTTGCATCAACATCGCCATCTCTCCGATTGCAGCTTAAACCCTAAATGTGAGCGCGACCTGCAAATGATAGTTTCGTCTTCCTCGTACTTTTTGATATTTTCACGTATACCCCCTCCCCCTCCTACTCATAAGTTAATATTTTATTAATATAACAATAATCAATTTTATTTAATATCTATTAATGTAGTAATAATTTTTTTTTAGTTAATATTTATTAATAATTAATATTTTTAGTTATTATTAATAGTAATATATAATAATTAATATTAATGAAGTTTATAATTGAAAAAAGTCACAATAAGCTCTCATAATGCTACTTCAAGTAGTGTTTCAATAAGCTAGCTTATGGTTATCTAAATGTGTACCTAAAAAATAAGCTAGCTTATGGTTATCTAAATCATAAATGTGTTTTCGACCTACATGATCAGTTGATTTTAATGTAACATTTTATATATGATCAAGAATTACAATGATAGTTTGGTATCAATGTTATCAATTTTTACGAGATTTGTTAGTTACCGATTACATGTGTAGAAAAATAGAAAAAATTGAACGTTTTTATACTAATAATCATTGCACTAAATAGAAATTAAGGGTCTGTTTATTAAATACTTACTTGGTAAGTGCTTACTGGATAAATTTCCTTATCGGATGAACATGAGATGGACCAAGAATCTTACCGGGTAAGAGCAATGAGAAGGATGGAGAGTCTTACCCGGTAAGTGAGGATGGCAACTCTTACCCAGTAAATTGTTGCATTCGATATGTTTTGATATACTAAATCTTACACATCAAAATAAATTATAGTGTTGACTCCTATGAGTAAGCGTTTACTGGGTAAACGACCCCTAAGTCAAACTTCGATTCATCTTTGATGCATTTGCCTTTTTTATTTTGAATAATAATCAACACTTATCAAGTGTGGAATTTTACAGGTTGACGCTTACCACATGTTACTTGTGTTTACCATGTGAGTATGGTAAGGACCAAAAATCCTACCCGATGAAAGAGAATGTTCGCTTACCGGGGAAAACAAGCGTAACAACAATCTATTTTGAAGGCAGAAAACGTTACCTGATAAGGTAACTCTCGTGTGGATTTAAATTTTTTAGCTTTTCATTTTCTTCTTGTTCTTTATACATCGTTCGGGTTGTTGAAGCAAATAAACGAAGTTGTTAAAAGGAAAAAATCATACTTTTCAAGAGATGATCGAGTCATGCTACTTTAAATGAACAAAACGTTTGGTAAACTTTTCAATCCATGTTCAAGTTAACACACGTTTAGAAATGTTGCAAAATAGGAGCAAGTCTCCGCAACATGAACCCATCGTTTCCATGATTACAATCTACCCCCATACATTCACTTCGTTTATTTTCAGGGATGGTACATTTACAATTGATGTAGACAAGCGACACTAAGCAGTTATTCAGTAACGACTTAATGGGCTTAATAACTGTCATGTCAGACATACGACAAATTCCTACTGAAGCTCATGATGAGAATCCTCGCTTTTGCATGGAAGATGGTGTGATGTAGATGACATATATCAAAACAGGTTAACAAGACTGTATAATTTTGTTTAACATATATGGTTACAACTAAAACCAAAAAAGAAAGATAAAAAAGGTAAGAATAAATCCCCACCCTTGGATCGATCATAATTGAAGATCAACAATAATAATAAGATGCACTGGATCAATTCCCGCATCAAACACAATTCACAGGGTGGGATGAGATTAAATAGTGATCAAGGATCCAGATCCCTTTTCCGCTTCTCACCTTAACTTGTATTCTCAAACGATCCTTCGCATGTTCCCATAAATGCAACATGATAACATTAAGACTAAGGGCCTGTTTACCGACACAAAATTTTAATAAGTACTAACGGGTAAAAGTATGGTCTGGATGAACAGAGTTCCACGCTTAGCTTTACCAGGTCGGCATAAACCTGTGGAGCCCCAAGACGACATGGCAACTTGTTGGTTCCATAAGCACAAACTACCGATTCACTTCAAATTAAAAAGCATAAGCATAAGCATGAAAGAGACGAGGGTTCGTGGTGAACTAGACTCGTATAATCATTTGGTACCTTTAATGCAGCAAACTCACATAAAACACTTACAAGTTGTTTGTTACTAAACATAACATAACATAATATAATTGACTACTAAATCAACCCTTGAGTGAGTATTTCTTCCCTGTGAAGGCTTGAAACTTTGGCTCTTCTTTCACAACTTCTTTCGTCTCTTTTGCAACTTCCTGCACAGCACAAACCCAAAAAATGTCTTATTGCTTAAAGTTATGCCTTCTTTGTGTTAGTCTTGCAGTTCTCAGGAGAACATTGTAGTAAAATAAGAGCATCTCGTTAAAATTTATGATTGTTCGAAAAAAAACATGCTCCGTAACATAACCAGGATTAGGTAAACCTTATAAAAAGGCAATGGTGATATGAACCAAAATGCCACACGATCCATGATAAACAGAAATTAAGGGTAATAATCTATCCCGTATCATTGAAGATACTGATATATGGAGCTAGAACTACTGACTAACCAACTATGAATATGATATGCCTGGAGATGGCCAATTTCTTCAATTCCTTTTAAATGGGATTGTTCTTCCACATTTTCGGCAAAAAATGCTGATAATATATGCTAAAATCCAAAGAATCCTTCCCACTACAATAAGACCTACTTCAAAGGCATTCCTTTTCGGGGAATTATTGGGTTAAAGAGTTATCTTGGTGTAGTGTCCATAGGTCAGAATCCTAGATATTAACCAATTATGTTCGGCAGAGATCATAAACTGACCGCTACTGAGAGCATGGGCAATAATGATGGGTGACACCAAATATAGGAGACTAAATGTCCATTTGGTATCAAATAACACTTCTTTAACATTGGACAACTATTTCATGCAAGATTTGAGCATTTGCGGCTAAAATTTATATTCCACCAAAACTACTAGAACGTTAGGAGAACATTGACAAATTTATCCATGGGAGGACTAAGAATGATGATCCACTTCTCTAAAATCTTACTTGCAGTCTATAAAGAAGATGTACCAAGTACCTTTTGCTTTTGGGGATCTGCACTACTGTTTGCATTAGAACCAAACACAAGTTTTCCTTGTGATTGACGAGAACTGCTTTGTGAAGTAGATCCTGTAGATGGCTGCACACCACCACCACCAGATACAGCAGGTTGCTTTTCTTTAGATCCAGTGGAGGACGAAACAGGCGGGGGCTGGTACTTCAAAGGTTTACCATCCAACCTTCTCCCTGATCCAGTAAATGGGTTAAACTTTGGCTCCTCAACTGGAGCAGCCTCACCTGCAAGGGCAGGAGGAAAAACAGTAGAAAGAATGTTCAATTGCTCCGTTTAACACTTGCAAGAAACGTCAAAGGATGGAGGAATTAGAAGAAATAATAATAACTTTCTAAGAAACAAGAATGAAGAATCATATGCAAGGAAACCAATACACCAGTATTCAGTCCATAAACACAATATTCAGACCATATTAAAAGGAATTAAATAAAATATGAAACAAATATTTAACTCAATTGATCGTTAATGCTCACAATTGGATTATTACGTGTCTAACGATACAAATGTATAGAGAAAAATGTACAAGTCAATTCAAACCTCATCAACTTGTAATAACAAAAGGGGCTCAAAGAAGGAAAATGTATTGTGATCCAAAAATATGTAAGAACTTGAAATACAGTATCAAGTTTGCAGTGTTCAAACCTTCTGCTGGTGCCTTGCTTGAAGGAACAGATGTTACAGGTCTCTCAGGCTCCTTGTAATCTAGAGGAGGAGCAAAGTCCACCTCGCAGTCGGTTTCGATGATACTTATTGCATGAGAAGGTTTTGATTCAATGATATCTATGTAGTATTTCTTGTTGTTATATGCCACCATGATGCTATCTCCTGTTGTCAAACAAGAGAAGTTCCTCAATGTTGTCTCTAAGCTGCATGAAAAAAACAGAAAATTATATCAGAAGGTTGACATGCATAACCACACAAATAAATAAATTTGCTACGAATAATACACAATGTCTATTAATATCAAGCAGTAAAAAATGCAACCTTGGGACTGTAGACTTCATAATAGCATGGACCAATTTACATCGACTTACATTGCTTTTGGGTTGGAGATATCCAAGAAGTCCTTCGTGTGTGGTTGTAATTTAACATATGTACCCTTTGGGAGGGTCACATTTTTTACTCGCACAATGTCTCCTTCTTGTAAAAGCAAATTTTCCATCATCTACATGAAAAATCAATGTGTATCAATAGGCATGAAAACTAAAACGTCTAGGAGGCAAACATGTGAAATAACATGACCCAACGTTTAGGAAAGGAAAGAAACAAACAGTAGAATGAATCTCCAAAAAACATACCCAATAAGGCATATAAATCATGCCTTCTTCTGCAATGAACTCCAGAACCCCACAGTGAGAAACTCGCTCAGTAGCAGAATTGCGTAGCTCAAACAACATTGGATAATCAATATGAAGAGAAGCTACAGTACAAAAGTTTGGTTTTCAGAATCTTATAAAGATTCTATTCCAGATTCCTGGGGGTGGGAGTTGGGTGAAGCAGCAGAATAATATAGAAGATACTTATTCAAGAAACTTAGTATGGTAAACTAACCAAGGCGATCAAGGGCTGAAGGAGGCATTATAACTAAAACACAAATAAAGAAATGTCAGTAACTGGACAGGGAACTTAATGGAGAAAACATACAAACACAAAAATACAAATACCACTCACTTTTATCACCATTCTCTAACTGGGGCTGAAAGGGGAAAAAACAATTGTAGAATTAGAACAATAAAGCATTAATTCAAACATGGCTTCAAGTTGAAAAATAATCATACTTCTTGTGAAAGGGGCAACAGGAACACATGTATATATTTCAACACAAAAAGGGAAAACATGTACTCCCAACATTCCTAAACAACTGCCCAACTATCTGATACAGATAATTCCAAAATGTAGACCTAAGTTGCATAGAGAAGAATCTTTGAACTTTTTGGAACTTTGTGTTGGGAAAAAACTTTATAAACTATGTTTCCGAGCAAAATGAACAGTCTAGGAATGAAAGAACAAGTAGAAAGTCCCCTTTGCATATGGATAATAAAATAATAAGCAAAAATAAAGATTCCCAACCTTATCGATAAAAGATGCAGGGTAGCACCGATATGTTTGCTCAAAGGATGTTCCATGATAGCCATAACCATCAAAATACTGCAACTCACCAGCAATACAATTAGTAAGGAAAATTCTTATCCAAAATCATGAGCATTACAAAAAAGCAAATCTGCCATAGATACAATAACCTATGAAGAAAATATCACTTAACCTTCTCTACACTCAAAAAAGTGAAATCCAACCAAATATAATACTTTTTATTAAATGAGTATATATAATTTTTGTAGTCAAACCTAGAACTTCTCAGAGCATGAAATTGCTAAATACTTTGTCACATACTCAACATCAATATCTTCTTACTTGGAGGACTAGTTACAGCCCGATTGCCACAAGAAGAGAGATACACTTTCGCCTTTGAATCCAAGGCTAGCACTTTTCAAGTGCAAAATTGCTAAACATTGTTTAATCGGCTCGCATAGCGGGTTGGATATCCAGGTTAATCAAAAAAAAAATTGCTAAATATTTTATTTTATATTTTTACACAAACATGTTTTTCTTTTGTAACACTTGTAAGAGTTTCATATCAATTTATCCCCTTAACCGCTCAAAAATCAAAATGTAGCAATTCTAATATTAAATATTTTCTTATAATAGGCTAGGCGGGTGATCAAATACTTGTACCCATAATCAGACTGAATGGAGATTAGAATCACCAACCAAATACTAAAGATTTCAAGTCTATTTTAGAGTACATAATTAGTCAGTCCATAATACATCAACACTCAAAATATATCTCCCACTCTCCCCCATGATTTTGAACCAGAAAAAACAACAGTAAACTAGATTTTAACATCACAATTAACATAAACAATTAAATAACAAGATGCATACCATGTTTATTCTTCTTAGTGAACGAACTTGCCAACCAAACAATCGAATTTCCAGCAACCTAATTGAAGAGCAGAATCTACGATCAGAGCAAACCTAAAAAAACACATTAGATACCTACCCGCACTAAAAAGCGCAATTTTTATGTTTGTTAACCATGTGAAGTGATCTATTTCTTCATATTAATCGAATATATAGCTACTATTCAAGCAATTCATCCACAATTCAAACTTTATGCACACCCAAAAATTAAGATGCTGAAACAAAATCCAAGATTAAGAATCACAAGAACATGAAATTAGTAGAAAACAATGTTACCGGATGATCAAGCGCGATAGATATCGAACTTCTTCAAGAGACTTGGAGAACAAAAAACCCTTTGAGAGAAATTTAATCTGAGAGTTCGGATTGATATAGATTTTGGAGAGAGAGAGGAGATGAGGCTAAGATGCGCCCAGTGCGTTTTATACACGCCACACCAGTGGACTAATTGTGGGCTCAATTAAAAAATAAGGCCCATGGACCTTTTTTAGGCCCAATTCATTCATGGAAAATACGAGTTTTATGAGAGTAAACTACATTATTTTATCCATGTTGAAAATTGCTATTTTCGTCCCAATACTTCAAATCATAGTTTATATGTATTTTTGAAATCACGGATTTCATCTGTGTGATTTATAATTCATTACCTTTTTGCCTCTGTGGTTTATAGATCGTTTTTGTCTCTCATACTTAACGGGAAATCACTGATAGAGTTAATCCCAAAGAGGAAAACAATTAGGGGTGTTCGCGGTTCAATTTGGGCAGTTTAACCCCTCAGACCACAGACCAAACCGTAATGGCGGTTTACAAACCGAGCGGTTTGACATCAAGTGCCCAGACCGGTCAAACCAGACCACAAAAAGGAGGTCTGGTCTGACCGGTTTAAGCGGTTTGAGCCTTTAATGGACATTAAAATATTAAACTTAAAAAACATATATAATTTAGAATTTTAGATTAAATATCCATTTTACAAAACAAAATATCCAAACAAATAAATGTAATAATTAAGTAGCTCTTGAGTCCAAAATCCAAGCAATCCAAAGTCCAAACAAATAAATATATAATACCTATTAGAAAATAAATAAATTAACAAAGTTACAACTCCACTGTGAGTATTGAGTAATCAAATCCACGACTTCACAACCTTCAATTATTTAGTCTTGAGTTCTTAACAAAATCGATAGATTGATAGAGTTCTTGAGGGATTCCAAAATTTGGAGACCGTCAATGTCAAATGTTTACTGGTTTAGGGATTTTAGGCGCCGATTCATTTGGATTTTATTATGTTAGATGTTAGACTTTATGTTGGACTTAGAGATATATTTGGGCCATAGCCATAAGTTAAAAAAATTGGGCTTGCTAATATTAAAATAAATAAATAACTATGTATGTATGTATGTATGTATGTATGTATGTATGTATGTATGTATGTATGTATGTATGTATGTATGTATGTATGCATGTATGTATGTATGTGATTTTTTTTATAATTAAAATTACATTGTCTTACAAAATATAGCGAGAAATCGATAATTGTGATTTTTTTTTTTTTGTGTTTTTTACGAATCAAGAACTTAGTATGTAAATCCCTCAACCAAGACACTTATATATAGTGTTTAGAAAGCAAAAAATACATAAAAAGGGCCAAAAAACGGATAGTTTTTTGAAAATAAAGACTACATTTTAAAAAAATAGCTACAATTTTTTAAAATCAAGCCGGGCCATAACCGGCCCCGGTCCCGGTCACGCGAAACACCCCAAATTTATAACCGGTCCCAGATTTCGGTCCTATAACCAGTCCTTACCGGTCTCGGGCCGGGCCGGTCCTTGGCCGGTCCCACTATTTATAACAAACCACGGCTCGAAGAAAGATCGTGACCCAACAATCATTGAGGCCCAATAGCCAAAAATTGTCCCACCTCGTACTTTCATTCTTACAGTAAATGCCCATACAAATTTATTTCATTCAACACGTAAACTCGTCAAGCTTTAGAGAGTTACAATCAGGTGAACACGTAGTGAATCAAGATCTGAGGTTAAGCAAACCAGGTAAGTTTTTGCATGTGTTTGAATTTGGGATACATAAAATAATACTGAGTCGTTATTTTTTAGATGTTATATGATATTTTTATATTTAATATTGTATTTTCAAATATGGTACAGTGTGTTCAGATGTGTTTAATGTTTTCAAAAATAAGGGAGCATGTCAGGTTTATAGTCTTTAAAGCATGCTAAATATTATAGTACAAACATGTTATGCTTGAAAATGTTTTGGACGTCTGGGGGATAATGTATCTGGATATGGGTAGCAACCGTAAAGATGCATAAAACCAACACATGTATCTTAAGGGTATCTATGCACTTGGTATGTTCATATATTATCAGTACATACAATGATCAATGTAATTTGTAGGCTTAGATGTAACAAAACCATCTCGACACTGTCTTTCAATGTCAAGATCTTAAATGCTTAGTATTCAAAATTTCATTGCACTGGCACATGTTCAGTATTATATACATGACCGTTTTTAATATACTTTTCAATATAGTTTTCAGTACAGTTTTTAGTATAGTCAAATATGGTTTCGGTAACTGTTAGTTGATTCTAACACTTGGTATCAGTACATATTTTATGTTTAGAAACTATATGGGTATCTTTGATACCATATATATGCTCGTATATTGATCATGAACTCACTTAGCATAAAGCTAATATACAATGTATCTCATGAACTGTTAATGCTGAGATTAGAAAAAAAAAGATGAGGATGTAATCTTCAATTTGAGATTACTACCATCTAAAATATTTTTACCAAAGGGTCTTTAGTCCAGCGGTATGTGAGTCATTGGCATCTTAGGAGGTCAAATGTTCAAACATCACCAAATGTGAGAAAGATGTGTGGTTTATTTGTTCTATTTGCCGTAAATAAATATTATATACGTAAAAAGATATTTTAGATGTTCATAAAACCAAAATCAGTTATACTTAAAAAAAACATCCAAATTCAGATGTACAAACTTGTTGGGTTTAGTAGATGTTAAGTTTGTTAAAGTCTTGCTTTGCGATGATTTGAGAAAGTTGTATATTTATGGTGGTTCAGTTCTTACTCGGTCCTCCCAGAAGTTGTCACGTGCCATGGGTGGAATATTAGGGCGTGGCACCCAAACCCACGAAACTTTAATGTTCAAAATCGAAGCCTAAATCGATGTTATTGGTATCAAATGCTGTAGGGGTTTGCTAGAGCAGTTAAGAACGCACACAACAATCAACAATGTAAAGAACACAAATATTGTCTTAGAAAGCTACCTCCAAAGTACTGAAAAGGCGAAAGTTTCATAACGGACTTTAAACATCGATTTATCTCTCAAAACTCAGCAATTTGATAAATAATTTGTGGTGTTAGGTTCATTTGGAGTTGTCTGTATTTATAGCCCGTAATTTTGGTGTATTTGGTAGAAAACATAACCAACTTAATTCTGCCTTTGACTGTCTTCTACAATTACTGCAACAGAGGTGTCCTTTTTGGTAAACATTTGGTCGACTCAAATTGATTCCATTTGCATGTCAAAACGTGAAAAGCTATCGAGCATGAGAACAAAGTATGTAGATACAAGATGTGAAAAATAAGATGTGAAAATGAACGTGACTCGTTATGATCAACGATGTAATGTATTCATCAATGGTTCATGCAACTCTCGATTAAATACATAGCTATTAAAAACGTCATTTTATTTGTGGTGAAAGCTTTAACATGTTGAAGAGTCATTACACATATGTTGCCGAGAGTATAGACAACAGGTGTTTTTGCAGTGGTGGCACTAAATAATAACAGGATTATAAAGTATTTGACAAAAAAATTTAAAAACCATTTTTTATGTATAAAGTATTGTATATTGATGTATATTACTTAAAATTCAAGATTACAAGTAAATTATATATAAATACAACTTATTAAAGCCCGATGTTTGAATTCGTACAACTAACTGTGGATAAACATAATCAAATAGATGATAAACATCTCATTTTAAAATATAAAAAATATAAAATATAATTAGGATAATTATCGAGTTCTAACAAAATAATTAATTATTATCTTTATAAAAAATTTATATTATTAAACCAAATATAAATTACTTCGTTATTGTACCTAAATTAAATTATAATAAAAAAATTGAATTAAAAAATTACACAAAAAATGAGAAATTTTAAATAGTTAATTTGATACTAATATCGCATATTTTTGTCAAATTTTTATGATATTTTCAAATTTATATTTTATTCAAAAATAAAACATCACCGCCTTCTCAAAATCACATAAGACCATATTATAACATCGACCGAAATAAAGAATAAAATGAAATATTAAAATCAAGATGTATCTCGCTGTATTGTGCGAATACCCTTCTTTAGACTCGGCTTCACGATTTTGCAGCTACGGTTTTTGTATTTGACCATTTGTTAACCATCAAAACTCAAATTTAACCTTCGATATGCTATTGTAACCTCTCAATTTTCCTTTGATAATGCCGTTGATGGCACACATCAAATCACAACTGAAACACCTTCAATAGTCGTAATTTTTCCACCATTACGGCAAGACAGTTGAGTATAGTATGGGACCCCACAGCCTCTACCTCGATCCACCCCTGGTCAAGAGAAAGATGCCGACTTTTTAAACTGTCACACTTCACATGTTACAACTGATGTACTGTTTTTGTGAAAATACAAAAGCATGACACTTGTTATGAAAATCAGATTTATTTTTTCATGATTTTTATTATTTATTATTTCACAAACACATGTAAAACTAATTTAAAAAGGCGATAGTTGTCGGCAGATTCATGTAAATCCATAATTATGCATAAAGCACACATGAAACACATATCGGTAGCTTTTGTGGATTTGAGGGGACATGTCCTAACAAAAGCTAATGTTACCACTTGTACGTCGAAGATTCGATTACTTTATATATTTTTTAATTGATATTTCAGTTTTTATCAGATCATAGAAATTGTAATCATGTCGTATTTCTTCTTATGTCATATAATATTATTGGAGGATTAGAAATATCAGATGATAACCACACATAGTTCAATCAGTAATCTTACAAATTAATGATGATCCAAGCAAGTATGTTCAGATATAACTAGGGGTGTAAATGATACGAGATCACTTGCGAGCTACTCGAGATCAACTCGGTCAACACTCGACTCGAACAGGCTCGGCTCGAACTCGAGTTCGACTCGATATATTAACGAGTTGAGTAGAGCTACCCAATACTCGACTCGAAAAGATCGTGAGATACTCGATTATTTTATATATAATTAGCTTTAAAATATAATCAGCTTTTTAGATAAAATTTGTAAAATATAAATAATAAAAATG